ATAAATATACATTTTGACAATGAGATGTTGTCTAATGCATAACTTTGAAAAAAAAAAAAAAAAAAAAAAACAAGTAAAAAAGCTGTAAGTTCGGCCGCCCGAACTTTGAATACCATGGTAGAAAAAGATAGGTAGACGCATCGACACAGCTGCTGGGACAATGAACTGTCAAACCAATTTTGGAATTGAAAATGTTGAATGAAAAATTACTTAAATTTGCAAAAATTGTTGAAAAACAAGAATTATAATAACCTCCGAATGACGTCGTATAAGAAAACATATTAAAATCTACTTATATTTTAAAGAACATTTAAAATTGTTTGACATATCAATGCTCCTAAGCGTTGATGTATCTACCTGTATTCTTCTGCCATGTTTGAATACCCTCCACCATTTGGTACAAATTTGGCAATTTTCATAAAATTAAAATCCATTAAAAATTTTGTTAAAATCTTAAAAATACCGAATGTAGCCGCATATTAGGGGCGATACGAAGATGTGAACCTGCACAGACAATTTGCAGTCATAGGCTGTAGTATTCATTACGAACTTCAAATACTAAATTTGAATAGTACCGCATATCGGGAGATACCGTTATATGGGGCTATACGAAGACGTGGACCTACATGGTCCATTTTCAATACCAAAAGTCCTGCAGACATAATGCACATTTGAGTAAATTTTTATCAACTTACTTCATTTCGTTTGGATGCTAATTGGATGGAATTGTTTCAAATTTGGTGTTTGAAGTTTGAAATGGATACTACAGCCTGAGGCAGAAAATTGTCTTCGTATAGCCCCAATATAACGGTGCTTCCCAATATTCGGTATTTTGATGATTTTAGCGTCATTATTGACCGTAGTAGTTTCAAATTACGTATTTAGAGATCGTAATGGGAACTACAGTCTGTAACAGAAAATTGCCTATGCAGGTCCAGGTCTTCGTATAGGCCCCATATATCAGTACCACCTTATATTCGGTATTTTGACGATTTTAGGTATAATACTCACCGAAATTGTTTGAGATACCTGTGACAGAAAATTGTCTATACAGGTCCAGGTCTTCGTATAGCTCCTATATAACGGTACCCCCCTATTTACGGTATTTTGATGCTTTTGGCTACTTTATTCACCGTTTATTTCAAGTTTCGAATTTGAATATGGTAATGGCTTGTAAAAAACAATGCCTATGAAGGTGCTTGTCGTACAGGCCCTAATATAACGGCTATATTAGGTATTTTTAAAATGTTAACAGAATTTTTGGCGAATGTTATCTTTTATCGAAAATTTTCAAATTCGTTCTAAATGGTGGAGGGTATTCGAAGTTCGGCCCGGTCGAACTTACTGCTTTTTTTGCTTGTTTTTACTTTATGCTTTATTTTTTGGGTAAAGTATCAAAGTAAGAATTATTCCAAATCATGATTAAGATGAATTATCATAGAGATTCATTTTTACATTCCCTATTATATGAAAGAAAATATTAACTTCATAATTTTAAACCTCTTTTAAATATTCACCTAAATATTCACTTAAAAAAGGGCATAGATTTTTTATCAGATTAAAATTATAAACCAATTTGACAATACTCTGACAATAAGACATATCTAATTTTAAAAGACCGATTCTCATTTAATCTCTCTTTTCCCTCAGGAAACAATTAAAGTACTCGTGTTTATACCCGGAAAAAATTATTATAGAAATTTCTAAAAATTAGTTTTAGTTAAGTTATTGCACTTGAAATTAATTTCCTTGGAAATCCGAGATTTTTTTTCAACCTCTCCAAGCACCTGAAAAATTATCTGGAAACTTTCAACACATAATTATCTCCACTGGCCCTTATCTCAGCAAATACATATTGTGATAATACCAATTGATTGAAACGGTATATAAATGCCTTAGAGCTTTCAAAAATATCATTCAACGATTAAATTTGAATTCTTCCACTATACGCAATTAAAATGTTCATCTTAAAATATTCCCTTGTATTAATATCCTGTGTGATTTTCGTCACAGGATTACCTTTGGATTCGAAAGATGTACAAGAAAATCAGGACGCTGTAAAGGTTCGTTCTCCCCGCCATGGCAGCATTGACTTTGGATACCATTCCGATCAACATGGACGTGAGGCTTCTGTACAATACAACCAAAACTTGTATACCAGCAACGATGGTCGTGGCACTATAGATGCCTATGCCCAGGCTAACCGTGATTTCGATCGTAATCATAATAGCTTTGGTGGTGGCATTGTTGGAAAATGGCATTTCTGAAATGTGAGAAGAGATTTCAATAAATCAACTCCTGAAAGTGAAATAAATTAATTGTATTCAAAAATTAATAAAGTTATGAAACATAATGTGAAGTAACCTTAGAGTGAAATTTTATAAATCGGTTGTAAAAAAATCTTAAAAATACCGAATGTAGCCGTATGTATACGACGAGAACCTGCATAGGTAAATTTTGTCATAAGCCATTACAAAATACAAATGCGAAACTTGAAAAAAAAATCGGTGAATAACGAACTTCAAATTTGAAACAATTCCGATAAATAATGTCGCTAAAATCATCAAAATACCGAATATCGGGGGGTACCGTTATATGGGGGCTATTCGAAGGCCTGGACCTGCACATACAATTTTCTGTCATAGGCTATAGTATTCATTACGAACTTCAAATACCCAGTTTGAAACAATTCCCGTGAATAATTTCGCTAAAATCATCAAAATACCGAATATCGGGAGGTACCGTTATATGGGGGCTATACCAAAACGTGGACCTGCACTGACAACTTTCTCTCATAGGTTGTGTTATCCAATACGAACTTCAAATACCAAAATTGAAACAATTCCTGTAAATAATGTCGCTTAAATCATCAAAATACCGAATATTGGGGGGTACCGTTACATGGGGGCTATACGGAGACGTTGACCTACATGACCCATTTTCAATACCAAAAGTCCTGAAGATATAGTACACATTTGAGTAAAATTTTATCAACCTACTTTATTTCGTTCGGAAGCTAGAGTGATTACCACAGACGGACAGACATTGCTAAATCGACATAGAATTTTATGCTGATCAAAAATGTATATAGTTTTGGGGTCTAAAATGTATGTTTCGAGGTATTACAAACGGAATGACAAAATTTAATATCCCCTCCATACTATGGTTGAGGCATGTAAAAAAACTAATAAACAAGCAGCTAAGTTCGGCCGGCCAGAAATTTGAAGAATCTACACCATTTCGAAGGAACATGAAAATTTTTCAAAAAAAATCGTCGAAAAATACCTCTCAAGGAAAATCGTTATATGGGGGCTAAACGAATAATTGTCATAGGCTGTAGTACCCATTACAAACTTCAAATATCTCAAATCTCTCACCCAATACTAAATGTAGTACCATTTAGTACTTTTTGAAAAAATATAGGACGCCAAACCTACCTCCATGTCTCAATTCCAGATACCAACAGAGACCTCAATATCAAGTATGAGGATTTCAGCCGTATCCTTTCACCCATACCAAATTGTACCAAACACAGTACTATTTAGTACTTTTTGTGACATTTGAGACATTGCTATAGAGTGCATGATATCACTTCGAAATGGTTTATTTAAATATGTATAGGTGCCGAGTTCCACAAAATAGAAACATACGAATTCACTCCATTTGGGCTGATAGTAGCCATTATATGCACAATAAACCTGAAATCGGATTAAGGATATATATAGGAGCTATATCTAAATCTCAGCCGTTCTCGTTAAAATTTGACAAAGGTATTTCCGAGCTCTATGAAATATCTAGTACCAAATAACACCACCAAATCGGATGAAACATATATGTGGGAGCGATAGCTATATCTGAATCGATTTTTACCAACTTTGATGTACTTACTTCTAGACTGAATTTAGTCGGATATGCCAAAATTCAGATCATTTGGACTGATATTGGCTATTTTGTTTGAAGATATGTATGGGAGCTATAGCTATATCTGATCCGATTTTCACCAAATGTGATACACTTATTTCAGAGCTGTATATGATATCTGATACCAAAAATCATTGTTGTGGATGCATATTACGCATTTAAAGGACTTAAAACCCCAAATCGGATAAACATATATTAAATATGAAGTACTTGTTTCTAGGATGAATTCAGTCGTAATGGTCAAAATTCAGTCCGTTTGGGCTGATATTAGCCATTTGATGCACAATAAACTTGATATCGGATAAAGATGTATATTGAAGCTATATCCTAGTCTGAGCCGATCTCGATAAAATCTGACAGAGGTATTTTTGAGCATAATCTGATGTTCGGTATCAAGTATCATTCTTGTGGAGAGCATATTACGCATTTGAGGAACTTTAACACCAAATCGTATAAAACATACATATGAGAGCTATAGCTATATCTGAACCGACTTTCACCTTTCTTGTGGAGAGCATATTACGCATGTGAGGGACTTTAACACCAAATCGTATGAAGCATACATATGAGAGCCATACCTATATCTGAACCGATTTTCACCAAATTTGATATAGTTGCTCTAGACTGAATTCATTCGGATATGCCAAAATTCAGGTCATTTAGACTGTTATTGGATATTTGGTGCACAACTAACCCGAAATTGGTTGAAGATATATGGTAGCTATATCTATATCTAATCCGATTATCATAAATTTCAAAAGGGTCCGCCCTTGGGCCAAAAAACAATTGTTTGAAAAATTTCATCTCAATCGGATAATAAATGCGACCTGCATTTTGTCCGGGTAAACGGACTGGCATGCTTAAATCGACTCAGATAGTGATTCTATGAAGATCCTTAAAAGTAACTATGGGCCTATCTCACTTCCTTCTCCATGTTGCAAACAAATGCACAAAGACATAATACCCTTACCACTATGTTGCGTAGGGTATAAAAATTAATAAATAAAAATTCACAGAGGCTTTTTTTGGTTCAGGTCGCCCTACCCTTTTTCTCAAGTGCTCTAGAAAAAAACACTATATTTACTTGGAATAAATAAATTATTTCATATATTTTATTTTTGACAAAAAGAAAAATTAAAAATCAATTTCATCACTTAAAATCTCCATTTTCCTTGAATGCCACCGCCATAGCTGTTGCGATTGTAATCGAAGTTACGGCTACCTTGAGCATAGGCATCTATGGAACCACGGCCATCACTGCTGGTATATAAATTGTGATTGTATTGCACGGAGGCTTCACGTCCACGTTGATCTTTGGTGTAGTCAATACTGACACTTCCATGTTGGGGAGAACGAGCGTAACGAGCATGTTCTAAACCATCAAAATTGTCCAAGACATCATCAGCTTGAATTTCGAAACCATCCTCATACATCATCATGGGTTGGGATGCAACCAAAACGACGACACATGAAATTAATAGCACAAATGTCTTAAGAGAGAACATTTTTGTTTGTATTTTTATTTTCACTGTTTTTTTTTTTCGATTTAAGTAATGTTCTCAGCTATACTGAGTGACAGATGAATGAATGAAAAGTATGATTCCGTTGCGCTACTTATATTGCACAGTTTCTGCAATAATAAAATGTATGTATGTGGGATTCCCACGATGCTGATAAGATTTTTTTTTTTTTTTTGTTTTGTATATACATATGTGTATTATTGTCTTTAGGCATCTTTTGAAAAATGTTTTTTTTATTATTATTTTTCATAAACGAGAGGGAATTACAAATTCCCATTATTGTAGGAAGTAATAATATTTTGGGGGAATCACGTTTACAAAAAATCTACCGTTCAAAAATATGAAACTTGAAAAGATTCAAAATATATCACCACTCAGAACCACATTTTGCTACTGAATCAGTTCAAAATTGAAATTTAATATTTGCTGAGGGCAAAAAAGCTCCTTAAATATGGGTCCACAATTTGGTATTGCCACCCTATTTTCATATAAAATTGCTTGTAAGTTTAGAAAACTTTCTTCTTTGCTAAGAATTATGGGTCAACGATTTGGATTAGCCCATATTTTGATGTTTCGACTGACTGACTGACTTAACGATTGATCAACGCCTAAACGAAGCGGCTGAAGCTATGGTCATAAAAATCATGGGTGAGGTTCACTCTTGGTCCGAAGGGGTCAGATAAAGCTGGGTTCTGGGAAATTCGTACTAGAACGATACGAAAAGTGTGAAAATGTACTAAATATGGTACCTTTGTATTTGAGAAAGCAGTGGAGCTAAATCTATAATTTGGAATGAGGGTTTCTGATGGAGTGCATGATGGATGTACCTAAGTGATTTTGGAAAACTCTTTTTGTTTATATACGAAAAGTACTAAAATGTACTACATTTGGTACTATTTTGTATCATGTGAACGGTTAGAGCTAAAAACTTGAAATATGAAAAGGGAGTCAAGTGTCAATGTTAGAAGGTAGTATTGAAATTAACATTTTCAAACTAAAAAAAATTATAAAAAACTGCAAATAACTTCATCCTCCTGTCATTTCAAAGCCACTCGTCCGACAGCTGTTAAAATTATTCCAGTGACAGGTCATTATATTGTTTACAAGCGTACAAAAGCATTTTGGTGAGAATTTTCATATAAAAAAATTTATTCGTGATGGAATTCAAGCGAGATAGTGTGATTTCATTATATTTGGTTAGAAAACCACAAGTAGCCACCGTTAGAGCACTCCAGCATTTAAATGTGAAAAAATCTTTTATGTCTCGTACCGTGATACTGGTGGACGGAAGAAAACAGCAACATCAGCATAAATGGTTCGAAAATAAAGAAGCGACTTGATCGAAACCCTCATCGCTGTGGACGAAAAATGGCTCGTGAGCTGAACATATAACAGACCTCGAACATTCCAACAGGACTCAGCACCATCGCACACAGCACGCGCCTCCCAACAATTGTTCCAAAATAAGGTTCCTTGCTTCATTTCCAGCGCACAATGGCCACCAAAATCTCCGGATAGCAATCCGTTTTATTTGGGTAAGACGATAGAGCTGGAATCCTGAAATTTGGATATAGCATTGCTGGTGTGTTGTAGGATTGGGATATTGAGGAAGTTTTGGAAATTCGTACTTAGGTGCACGAAAAATACCAAATGATACTGAATTTTATACAATTTCGATTTGGGTGAACTGATAGAGCTGGAATGTTGAAAATTATAAATAAGATATCTGCTGTATTATAAGATGCAGGTTGTTATGGAAATTTGTACTTATGTGTACTAAATTTGGTACAAATTGAAATTGTAGTGAACCAATAGGGCTGTAATTCTGAAATTTGGAAATAACATTTCTATGGAATTCTATGATTGAGGTATGAAGGTAGTTTAGGAAATTTGAAGTGTAGGATTGGGGTATGTAGGAAGTTTTGAAAATTTGTACGAAAATTACTAAATGGTACTAAATGTGGTATTTTATATTGAGGTCATTGTTGGTATCCGGATTTGAGATATGAAGGTGGTTTTGGAAATGTGTTCTATAATTGTACGAAAAGTACTAAATGGAATCCCGAAATTTGATATAGATTTGAATGGTGGTGTCTGTGGTTAAGATATGGAGGTGGTTTTTGGAAATGTGTACAATAGTGACATTTGGTATTAGGTGAGGAATAGAGTTGAAATCCTCAAATTTAATATGCATGTTACTTTTGGTGTCTGTATTTTGGAGAAGGAACTGGTTTTGGATATGTGTAATATACCTGTACTAAATTTGTTAATCGGGGAATATATCGATCTGAAATCCTGAAATTTTATATAAAGGTCACTGTTGAAATCTAAGGTTAAAAAACTCTAATTGATCAAAAAGTACTAAATAAAATGGAATTCTGAAATTTGGTATGGAGGTCAATTTTGGTATCTAGGGTGGAGGGAAGAAGGTTGTTTTGAACATATATGCATAAATGTATGAAAAGTATGGTAATAAATTTTGGGATCGGGTCTTAGGATGGAGCTAGTGTTCTGAAATTTAATATGGAGGCCTCTGTTGGCATAGAGTTTTGAGAAAAGGAGGTACTATGATTGTTCAAAAATTACTAAATGGTAGTAAAGTTGCCGTTAAGTGAATGGATATAGCTCAAATCCTCGAATTCGATATTGAGGATTCCGTATTATGAAAAATATTTTGATAATAATATTCGACTATTTGCAATCATAGTTCGTTTGAAGACAAAGAAAATGTTTTGGCAGAGCCCCATATAACGACACGTCCCAATTCGGTATTTCTACGGAATAGTTCCAAATTTTCTATTTTTATTTCATAAAGGGCTCTACTTCTAGTGGAAGAAATTTGTGTATATAAGTCGCCGTTTTACTATAGCACCCATATAACGGCAGAATTAGATATTCAGTATTTTGACAATTTAAGCCCCATTATCTAAAGGATGTATCTAAAAGTTTGTATTTGTAGTTCGTTATAGGTTCTAGTTCCACTGGCAGAATATTGTTTAATTCGTACATAATTAATTCGAAATGAACGAAGTCCCATGGAGTGACATTTGATTTAACGTTTATCGTTAAAGTTCTATAAATTTTCCCCTCGAGGTAATGCGAATGCTTCTGGCTAAGCTGTATCCAAATAATATGAATTTTAATATTTTATACTCCTTGAACAGAACATACAAATTTTGGCGAGAAAAAAACAACTTGAAACACAAAAGAACCCAAATAATTTTCTAAAGGTCCCAATTAACACCCGCCTCTGCTAACAGAGGTCGTCACCTCACCACGATGTGGAAAATGCACACACCTCATATGTTGGGAAAAAGCAGCTTTAGTAAAATATCAGCATTATGAAGACATCAATAAATAAGTAAGCCATCATCCAGAAATGAAAAATCCCCAGATTGGGGATTACATAAAGTTATCAAAAAGAAGCTTGAGTAAAGAAAATCCCAGTCAATAGCATCAAATGAATATTGTTTGTATTATTGCTGATAGCTCTTGCTTAATAGCTTAAGAAAAGGTATAAAATACGAAGACAATGCTCTTATCAGTTTCAGGGAGTAAATCCCATTTTTTGAATAATTTTCTTCAAATTTTTGGTATATAAACGTTGAAGAACAAAACTCAATATCATTCGCATAGCTAAGTAGAATATACAAAACATACAAAGCCATAAGCAAATATCCAACATGTTCGCTTTAAAGTTTACTCTATTCATGGCTGTCTGCCTAGCTATCTCCAGGGCTTCTCCCGTAGATTTCATGGCAGATGGATACGAAAATCAAATTATTGATTTCGATCAAGTCGGACCATCATCGATCATTTCTCGCCACGCTCGTTCGCCAGAGGGTGGTAGTGTTGGCATCGACTATCGCAAAGATGAAAACGGCCGTGTAGCAGTTGCCCAGTATAAACAAAATATCTTTTCCAGTGCCGATGGTGATAGATCGTTGGATGCCCATGCTCATGCCAGTCGTAATTTCGATCACAACAGCAATGCTTTCGGTGGTGGCGTCCAGGGTAATTGGTCGCCTGGCAGTGGTGGCTCTGCAGATTTTACAAAGGATAACTTTGGACGTCAAGCTTCAGTGCAGTTGAATCAAAATTTATTCACTAGCCGCGATGGACGTGGCACCATAGATGCCTATGCTCAGGGAACTCGTAACTTTGATTATAACTACAATAACTTTGGTGGTGGAATTCAGGGAAGATATAGATTTTAAGTTAAGGGGATGAGAGTTTTACGAAAAAAAAGAAAATATTGTAAATTTGTAAGAAACAAGAAAATATATATAAAATTCTTTATGAAATAAATGTGTTGGATTTATGAATGGATTTTTAAAAATGTTGGCTATTAGCCGGGGAATTACGGGAAGTACTCTCTTATTCACATTTTTGGTATTTGAAATTTTTTGCTGTAAGTGTACGAAAAGTACTAAAATGTATTACATTTGGTACCATTTAGTATTATGTGAACGGATAGAGCTTAACATTGGAAATTAAGGTTGGAATATGTGTCTAATATATGAAGGTTCTTTTATGGTAGGTTTCTGATAAAGAGGTGGTTTTAAAGTTCACGAAAAGTACTAAATAGTACAATTTGGTAATGGGTGAACAGATAGTGCTTAAAATCTGAAATTTTGTATGAGGGTCGTTGTTCATTTGTAGACTAGACATATACATGTGGTTTTGGAAATGTTAACTCTAATTGTACGAAAAGTACTGAATGGTGCTAAATTTGGTATTGGGTGAAAGGATGGGGCTGGAATCCTCAAACCTGATGTTTAGGTCTTTATGATTGTCTTTATGATGTCTGAAATTGAGAAATTTTTCGAAAAGTACCAAATGGTACTAAATTTGGCATAAGGCGAAGCGATTGGACTGAAACTGTTAAATGTGATGTTACTAAATATGATATTTCTCTCTCTATAAAGATCTCGAATGGAGTTCTTTCGCATGGAGTTCTTTAAAATATAAACTTTTTTCAGAAATCCTTGGGAATATATTAAACAAAAATATGATTCTTTATCATGATTTTCCCCTAAAATTTTCAATATTTTTTTTAATCCACCACATTTGTAAAAACTAATATGAAAATAAAACCAAAAATCCATTATCCTTTATAAAATGTCTCAAGCTTTACTGAACTTTTATTTATAAACATGTATTAAAGATGTCGAATAAAGTAAAGAATCAACAACTCTACACTCTCCGCATTCAAAATAATTGAAATTATGATCGAAGTTTCGTAGATTCTCCCCATAGACGTCAATGGAACCACGACCGTCAGGGGTTACACACCAGCTATGATTATTCTGAACAGCAACTCCACATCCTTGATAAAATTTGTTATGTTCCTTGTTTAAGTGCCTGTTTTTGCAGGTGATGTCCTTCGATTTATTTACTCCCATGGCTAGCTATTGTTTAATTAACAACGCGGAATGATGGCTTCATTATTATTGCAATGGCTTTTTATAGTTGTAGCTAACGAAAGAAAGGGGAATATCCTGGGCATTGTTATAAATTCTTTATCAAGTCTTTTCGGATTTGAAAGATCGATTCGATTGATTTAGGAAATATCCCTTAATTTCTAGTTTTTTTATATATAATTTTATGGGTTTTGTTGAAAAAAAAAACTCGATTAAAACGGGACGTTACCGAACTTTCGGTTGCATCCAAACATGGGACATTATATACCAAACAAGTGAAAAAAACATTGAGTTTAGCCGGGCCGAACTTTTAATACCCTCCACCTTAGGGTAATGGAAACATTAGAACTAATTATGACCCACAAATACCAATTTTTAGACATATTCGTGGGAAAATGTGGCAAAAATCATCAAAATACCGAATATCGGGAGGTACCGGACCTCCACATACAATGTTTCGCCAACGGATCTAGAACCTATTATAACCAACTAATTCCAATTTTTAGACAAATCCGTAAAAAAAATGTGACAAAAACCATCCAAATTCCGAATATCGGGAGATACCGTTATATGGGGGCTATACCAAAGCGTATACCTAACATACAATGTTTCGCCACATGAACTAGGACCCATTATGACCTACAAATACCAATTCTCAGACAAATCCGTAAAAAAAATGTGACAAAAACCATCCAAATTCCGAATATCGGGAGATACCGTTATATGGGGGCTATATCAAAACGTGGACTTATACATGCAATGTTTCGTCACCGGAGTTAGAACCCACTATGACCAACAAATACCAATTTTTAGACAAATCCATGAAAAAATGCTGCGAAAATCATCAAAATACCGAATATCGGGAGGTACCGTTATATGGGGCAATACAGAAACGTGGACGGATCCTAGACACAATACAAATTATTCTGCTAAATTTTGTTGGTCTACGTCAAATAATGTGGCCTGTATCGTGATTTCAACAGACAGACGGACAGACAGACAGACGGACAGACAGACAGACGGACAGACAGACAGACGGACGGACAGAGAGAGAGAGAGAGTACTGATTGGCCTGTTACGAAGTCCTGCTACCTTAAAGAATAGAATTGTGTAACCGATCGAACACGATTTTCATTTTAATTTGCATCAATCAGACACCAAATCTATATCAAATTTCAGATCTATTCCTTCCTTCCCCCAATACCAAATTTGATAATATCTGGAACTTTTCGTGCAATTATAGTACAAATTTCTAAAACCATCTCAATTCCTGATTCCAACAGGTTTCTCAGTATCTAATTCGAGGTTTCAGTTCTATTTCTTCACCCAATACCAAATTTAATACCATTTAGTACTTTAAGTACAATAATAGTACACATCTCCCAAAACCACCTGCAGATCTCAATTTCAGATACCAACAATGACATCCATATCAAATTTCGGGATTTCAGCGCCGAAACCACATCCATATATCCAGGCTTTACGTGAACAGCCTAGACCCTAAACCAAAATTCCTAACACCAAATATAGTACTATTAGTACTTATCGAGCACTTGTAGTATTACATATTTCCAAAACCACCTCTTTATCACAAATCTAAAACCAATAGGGACTTCAATATTTAGTACAGTTCGGACACTTAGTACACATATACAAAACCACCTTCATGTGCCAAACTTTCTATACAACCTTGATTCTCATTCCAAATTTTAAGTTTTTAGATCTATCCGTTCACATTATACCAAAGAAGTTTAGTACTCTAGATCTTTTCGTAATCTTAAATTTCAAAAACTCTTTGGTACATCTATCGTGCACTCCAACAGTGACTCCCATTCCAAATTTTGGCATATTTGAGATTTGTCATTGGTGTGAAAATTAAAAAAGAGTACGAAATGGTACTAAATATTGTATTGGCTGAAGTAATAGACCTGGAATCCTCAAATTTGATATTAAAGTCTATGGAATGGAGACATGGAAGTGGTTATGGACATGTGTACTATAATTGTAGGAAAAGTACGAAATTGTACCAAATTTGGTATTGGACGAAGAAATATAATTTAAATCCTGAAATTTGATATAGTTATGCATTTGGTATTAGAAATATGTACTATAATTGTTCGAAAAGTACTAAGTGGTACTAAATTCAGTATTGCGGTATTGAGGTATTGAGATTTTTTGAAAATTATGTTGTTTACACGCGTACAAAAGCATTTAGGCTCGAAAAGTAAAGAAGCGACTTGATCGAAACCCGCGTCGCATTGACCGAAAAATGTCTCCTGATCTGAACATATCGCAATATTCCATTCTTCAAATGAGTTCGGGTAAAGCCATGGTAATTCCCAAAAGGGGTGCAGGAACTTACACAGCAACAGAAGAAAATATACTCAAAAGAGATGAAGAGTTGTTTCGCTTGGCGGAAAGTGGTGAACTACCGAATTTGAGTTTTCGATGAGAAAATATTCGTTGTCCAGCAGGTTGATCGTGTTTACTTGCCAAAGAGGTTAGCTGTGGGCCGCCATAACAACCGATGATCGCTCTCCGCTTGTATTAATCGACCGTGGCATCAGAATAAATGCCGAATATTATAGCGAAAATATTCTGGAGGGTGTATTAAAGCCTTGGGTACGCAAACATTTTGGCCGCAGACCTTGGACATGCCAAGAGGACTCCTACAATCGCACTCAGCACGAGCCACCCAAGAATTGTTACAAAATGAGGTTCCTCGCTTCATTTCCAGCGCACAATAGCCACCGAAATCTCAGGATACCAATCCGTTGAACTATTGTGTCTGGAGTATTTTGGAAAGCAAGGTTGGCACTGAAAAATACCAAAGTGTCGATTGCCTCAAGCAAGCGCTTCGGCGGGAATGGGCCAAAATACCGCAGAGCAACATTCGGGTTTCATTGGCTGTTTGAAGGCCATTATTCATGCCAAAAATTTGATGCTATTTCCGACATATTTTACTTCCCTTCGACAAAATTGAGAAAAACATGAAAAAATTATTGCTTTTGACTTTGTTGTAGTTTTTATCTCACCCTGTATAGGTCCTCCCCATATAATTGTACCTCCCGATATTTGGTATTTTCATGATTTTAGCCACATTTTCAATGGAATTGTCTGAAATTCTACACAAGGAGTTCACTGTGACTACTTTCCCCCCTGAACGAGAATTGTCTATATAAGCCCACGATATTGTATAGCCCCATACGATGGTACCTACCTTTATTCGATATTTTGACGATTTAAGCCAAAATTTTCAATGGAATTGACTTAAAATCCACACATTGAGCTCCTTCTGAGTCCACGATATCGTATATCCCCCATATAACTTTACCACTCGACATTCGATATTTTCATGATTTTAGTCACATTTTTTAAAGGCATTGTCTGAAATTCTACACAAGGAATTCTCTGTGAGTACTTTACCCATATCACGTTACCCCGAGATATTCGGTATTTCCTGGATTTTCACTACAATATGCACCGGAATGGCGTCAAATTTAGTATTTGAAGTTCGTAATGGGTACTACAACCTGTGACCGAAAATTGTATATGCAGGTCCACGTTTTAGTATAGCCCCCATAGAACAGTACCCCCCTTTATTCAGTATTTTGATGATATTAGCGACATTATTCACCGGATTTTTTTCGAAATTCGTATTTGAAGTTCAGAATCGTTACTACAGCCTATGACAAAAAAAAACTTATCCAGTACCATGTCTTCGTATAGCTTCCTTATAAATATTTTTATTTGATCGGTATTTTTGGAGGATTTTTGTTTTCTTTTGAAAATTTTCGATTTCCTTACGAATGGTGGAAGGTATAAAAAGTTCAACACGGCCGAACTTAGCTGATTTTTTACTTGTTTTTCTTTTAATCAAAGTTTCAGTCCTCGTTATTCTTTCACATATGATATGAATCATGGAAAATGATAAATTTGCCCAAGATATGAGTAAGTATTTAAAAAACTCAAAATTGATCGGGTAGGTCTTCTTTTTTAAATAACATTTACTTTTTATTTATTCAACATAAATAACTAAATTCCAAAAATTATAAATTTTATAAATCTTCATTAAAAATCTCTAAAAAAAATTATTTAAAATCGATAACGTCCTTGAATTCCACCACCAAAGTTATTGTAATTATAATCGAAGTTTCGGGTTCCTTGAGCATAGGCATCTATGGTGCCGCGTCCATCACGGCTAGTGAATAAGTTCTGATTCAACTGCACCGAAGCTTGACGTCCAAAGTTATCCTTCGTAAAATCTGCAGAGCCACCACTACCAGCCGACCATTTACCCTGGACACCACCGCCAAAGGAATTTGCGTTGTGGTCAAAATTACGAGTAGCATGAGCGTGGGCATCCAGCGATCTATCGCCATTCGTGTAGATATTTTGCTTATATTGTACAGATGCTTCGCGGCCATTTGCATCTTTGCGATAGTCTATGCCAACACTACCACCCTGCGGAGAACGAGCATGACGCAATAGAGTCACAGGTTTATATTGGACCAATGGAATATCCCCTTGGAAACCATATCCTTCGTCGTTGAACTGCACTGCATAGGTCTTGGAGAAAATTAGGCATAATGCCACTGCGAGGGTGCACTTCAATGAAAACATTTTTGTTTAATTTTTTATTTCGTGATGTATTCTACAACTTCTACTTCAAACTGAATGCTTAAAAGTTGGCATACAGTCTCTTTATATAGCCATATATTTTAAGAAAACAGATCCATTATTTGGGTTTTACTCTTGCGAACTGATAAGAATTGCTTTGTGTGAAAAAGACTATCGTATGCGTTGCTTTTATGTCTCATATGCCTACATACATGTTTACATTAGAGGGGATGTACAACTGTCTTATTAAAATGTCATATTTTTTTGAGGAGGAATCTCCAATAAAAAGTCCCGTCTCAAATTGAAATGGGAATTCCACGGAGAAATAAGACCTTCTACAAATTTGAACCATTAAAAGTTGTCAATAACAATTTTTCTTGTAAGTTTTTTGTGCATAAGCTGTGTATGTGTTTGTAACAGGCAATCGGAAAAATATATTCCATAGTTTTTATAACCTCCACCATACTATGGAGGGTATATAAGTTTGTAATTCTGCTTGTAACTCCTCGATATATTCGATTAGCGACGTTGGTCTTTGTCTGTCTGTGTGTTGTAATGACGCTATCTTTTGCCGAATTGAGATAGAATGCTAAAAATTTGAACACATGTGTATTTTTTCCAGTAGGCAATGGGCCATGTCGATACTCCCCGATATTCGGTATTTTGATGATTTTAGCGACATTTTTTCAAATTTCGGAATCGGTACTACAGTCTAGAGCATATTTATACCCTACACCACATAGTGGTAAGGGTATTATGTCTTTGTGCATTTGTTTGTAACATGGAGAAGGAAACGAGATAGACCCATAGTTACTTTTGAGAACCTTCATAGAATCAGTTTCTGAGTCGATTTATGCATGTCAGTCCGTCTGTCCGTCCGTCCGTCCGTCCGTCCGTCCGTCCGTCCGTCTGTCCATGTATTCTTGTGAACAAAATGCAGGTCGCATTTATTATCCGATTGAGATGAAATTTTCCAAACAATATTTTTTTGGCCCAAGGACGAACCCTATTGAAATTGGTGAGAATCGGATCAAATTTAGATATAGCTCCCATATATATCTTCATCCGATTTCGGGTTAAATGTGCACCAAATGTCCACTATCAGTCCAAATTACCTGAATTTTGGCACACCCAACCGAGTTCGGCCTAGAAGCAAGTATATCAAATTTGGAGAAAATCGGTTCAGATATAGCTATAGCTCCCATATATATCTTTCATCCGATTTGATCTTTAAGTCCCTCACATTCCTACTATGCACTCCACAACCGTGATATTTGGTACCAGGTATTAGATGGAGCACAGAAATAGCTGTTTTACATTTTATGGAAATCGGTTCAGATTTGGATATAGCTCCCATATATATCTTCATCCGATTTCGGGTTAAATGTGCACCAAATGTCCACTATCAGTCCAAATTACCTGAATTTTGGCACACCCAACCGAGTTCGGCCTAGAAGCAAGTATATCAAATTTGGAGAAAATCGGTTCAGATTTGGCTATAGCTCCCATATATATCTTTCATCCGATTTGATCTTTAAGCCTCTCACATTCGTAATATGCACTCCACAAGAATGATATTTGGTACCAGATATAATATACAGCCCAGAAATAGCTGTTTGTAATTTTATCGAAATCGGTTCAGATTTGGATATAGCTCCCATATATATCTTCATCCGATTTCGGGTTAATTGTGAACCAAATGGCTGATATAAGTCCAAATGGACTGAATTTTAGTACATCGGACCAAATTCAGCCTAGAAGCAAGTATATCAAATTTAGTGAAAATCGGTTCAGATATAGATATAGCAACCATATATATGTTTCATCCGATTTAGTGTTTTAGTCCCTTACATTCGTAATATTCACTCCACAACCGTGATATTTGGTACCAAGTATTAGATGGAGCACAGGAATAGCTGTTTTAAATTTTATCGAAATCGGTTCAGATTTGGATATAGCTCCCATATATATCTTCATCCGATTTCGGGTTATTGACCACCAAATGGCCGTAATAGCATCAATTTTGGCAAATCCGACCGAAACCAGCTTAGAAGCAAGTACACCAATTTTAGTAAAAATCGGTTAAGATATAGCTATAGCTCCCATATATATCTTTCATCCGATTTGGTCTTTAAGTCCCTCACATTCGTAATATGCACTCCACAGAAATGATATTTGGTACCAGTTATCAGATAAAGCCCAAAAATAGTTGATTTTAATTTTATTAAAATCTGTTCCGATTTGGATATGCCTCCCATATATATCTTCATCCGATTTCGTGTTAATTGTGCATCGAATGGCCAATATCAGCCCAAATGGCATGAATTTTGGCAAATCCGACCGAAACCAGCCTATAAGCAAGTACACAAATTTTAGTAAAAATCGGTTCAGATATAGCTCTAGCTCCCATATATATGTTTCATCCGATTTGCTCTTTAAGTCCCTTACATTCGTAATATACTCTTCACAGGAATGATATTTGGTACCAGATATCAGATAAAGCCCAAAAATAGTCGATTTTAATTTTATCAAAATCTGTTCAGATTTGGATATAGCACCCATATGTATCTTCATCCGATTTCGTGTTAATTGTGCAACAAATGGCCAATATCAGCCCAAATCACCTGAATTTTCGTACATAAGACCGAATTCAGTCTAGAAGCTAATACGTCAAATTTGGAGAAACCCGGTTCAAAGATAGCTATAGTTCGTAAAATGCACGATAGATTTTGATTTTGTACCAAATATCTCATAGAGCTCTGAAATGCCCTGTACAAACCTTTTTACGAGAGCTCTACTAAATATGCATAGTGGTGTAGGGTATCATATAGTCGGCCCCGCCCGACTTTTGAGCTTTCCTTACTGGTTTTTGTATGTAGGTCCACGTCTTCGTATAACTCCCATAGAACGGTTCTCTTTTAAGTGGTATTTTTCGACGAATTTTTATACCATCCATCTTGAAAAGGAGGGTACATTAACTTTGTCTTTCCGTTTGCAACATCCATAAATATTCGTTGTGTACCCCATAAAGTGGATATTCATGATCAGCATAAAATTCTAAGACGATTTAACGTTGTCCGTCTGTCTGTCAGTCGAAATCACGTGACAGCCCACATTATTTGACGTAGACCATCAAAATTTGGCAGAACAATTTTTATTGTGTCTAGGATGGTTGGTATTGAAAATAAGATATATCGGTCCACGTTTTGGTGTAGTCACCATATAATGGTACCTCCCGATAGTCGGTATTTTGATAATTTCAGCAGCATTTTTCACCGGAATCATTTCAAATTTCGTATTGAAAGAACTAAATGGGTTCTACAACATATGTCAAAAAATTTCGTATTCAGGGGTAGTTCAACCTTTGGCAAAAAATTTCGTATGCAGGTCTACGTCTTCGTATAGCCCCCATATGACGGTACCTCCCACTGCTCGGTATTTTCCTGATTTTTGCGACATTGTTCACCGGAATTGTAACAAATTTCGTATTTAAAGTTCGTAATAGGTACTGCAGCCTATGGTAAAAAATTCCGTATGCAGGTTTACGTTTTCGTATATCCCCGTCATATGGGGGATACCTCCCGATATTCGACATTTTAATGATTTTAGCGACATTATTCACTGGAACTGTTTCAAATTTCGTATTTGAATTTCGTAATGGGTACTTGATCATATGACAAATTCGTAAGTAGGTCCACATCTTCGTATAGTCCCCATATAACTGTTTTCAATTAAGTGGTAGTTTTTGGATTTTTTTTTTTTGCAATTTTTCAAGTTTTTTCCAAATTGTGGTCTTTTTTATACCCTCCACCATACTATGGAGGGTATATTAACTTTGTCATTCCGTTTGTAACTCCTCGAAATACTCATGTCAGACCCAACAAAGTATATATATTCTTGATCAGCGTAAAATTCTAAGTCGATTTAGCCATGTCCGTCTGTCTGTCTGTCTGCCTGTCTGTCTGTCCGTCTGTCTGTTGTAATCACGCTATCTTTCGAACGAATTGAGATAGAAGGCTAAAATTTTGCACACGTATTTATTTTTCCAGTAGGCAGGTTAAGTTCGTAAATGGGCCATGTAGGTCCACGTTTTCATATAGCCCCCATATAACGGTACCTCCCGATATTCGGTATTTTGATGATTTTAGCGACATTATTCACCGGAATTGTTTCAACTTTCGTATTTGGAGTTCGAAATGGATACTACAGCCTATGACAGAAAATTATCTGGGCAGGTCCACGTTTTCGTATAGCCCCCATATAACGGTACCTCCCTATATTCGGTATTTTGATGATATTAGCGACATTATTCACCGGAACTGTTTCAAATTTGGTATTTGAGATTCGTAATGGATGCTAGAGCCTATGACAGAAAATTGTCTGCGCAGGTCCACGTCTTCGTATGGCCCCCATATAAAATTACCTCCCAAAATTCGGTATTTTGATGATTTTAGCGCCATTATTCACCGGAATTGTTTCAAATTACGTATTTAGAGTTCGTGATGGGAACTACGGTCTGTGACTGAAAAATGTCTATGCAGGTCCAGGTCTTCGTATAGGCCCCATATATCAGTACCTCCCTATATTCAGTATTTTGACGATTTTGACCGAAATTGTTTGAGATGTGGTATTTGAAGTTCGTAATGGATGCTACAGCCTGTGACAGAAAATTGTCTATGCTGGTCTAGGTCTTCGCACAGCTCCAATTTAACGGCACCTCCTTATATACGATATTTTGATGATTTTAGCTACATTATTCACCCTTTATTTCAAGTTTCGAATTTGAATATGGTAATGGCTTATGACAAACAATGCCTGTGTAGGTTCACGTCGTATAGACCCCAATATAACGGCAATATTCGGTATTTTTAAAATTTAACAGAATTTTTTAAGGATTTCATTTTTTTTTTAAATTTCCAAATTCGTTCCAAATGGTGGAGGGTATTCAAAATTTGGCCTGGCCGAACTTGCTGCTTTTTAACTTGTTACTTGTTTTTTTTTTTATTGAAAATTTTCAAGTTTTTCCAATTTGTGGAGAATATTGAAAATTCGGCCCAGCCAAACTTAAAACCAGTAAGGAAATGTCAAAAGTCGGGCGCGGCCGAATAGATGATACCCTAACGCACTATACGTATTTAGTATAGATCCCGAAATAAAAAAAGTTTATATTGGGAATTTATGTGAAGTAAACTATGAACCTTATTTGAATGCGTTTCATCGTTTTATCCAACTCTGAACCGGTTTTCAAAAAAAAATGACGGAGGCTTTTGTACCTCTAGTAACAAATAACATTGCTGTATAGTGCATGATATGACTTCTGTAAGAATTATATTGAGAAATATTTATTGGAGCAATAGATACGCCGGACCGGGTTTCACCAAAATGGAAAAATTGGGTTGAACATGAAAAAATCCATCCAATTTGGGTTGATATAACATATACGGATGAAGACGTATATCAAAGCTATATAAAAATCTGAACCGATCTCGAAAAAATTTGACAGTATTTTTTTTGGGCTGTATCTGATATCTGGAAACAAATGTTATTCTTGTTGAGTGCACATAAGGGATTTAAACTCCAAATCGGATTAAATATATATATGGGAGCTATAGCTACATCTGACCCGATTTTCTCCACATTTTATGTGCTTGCTTCTAGATTTAATTCGGTCGAATGTGCCAAAATTCAGGTCATTTGGACTGGTATTTGTCAAGATATCAGATAAATTTATATATGGGATCTATATCAAAATCTGAAAATTTTACGCACTTATTTCTGAGCTGTATCTGATATGTGGTACCAAATATTCTTCTTGTGGAGTGCATATTACGCATGTGATGGACTTAAAACCCCAAATCGGATGAAACATATATATGGGAGCTATAGCTATATCAGAACCGATCTTCACTAAATTTTATATTCTTACTTCTAAAGTTTGGTTGAATGTGTTAAAATTCAGGTCATTTGGACTGATATTGGCCATTTGGTGCACAATTAACCAAAAATCTGTTGAAAATATGTATGGGAGCTATATCTAAATTCGAACCGATTCTCACCGATTTCAGTAGGGTTCGTTCTTGGGCCAAACAAATATTGTTTTGGTTATTATTAGGTTATTGTCTATATATGCCCACATTTTCTATAGCACTCATTAACCGCTACCTTCAAATATGTTTACTACTTAAGCCCCATTTTCGAACGGATTTGTCTAAAATGCTGCATTTGTAGTTCGTAAGTAGTTTTAGCCCTGGTGGAAGAACATTGTTTAACGTTTATCGTTGTAAACATGGGTACTATCAACCTTCTCCACGAATTAATTGAAATGTTTCTGGTTAAACTGTATCTAACACAAGTTAAAAAGTATCTATCGGTTTAGCCGACAGATGTATACCCTCAGCCAATGTTCGATTATTGAAATATTTTTTGACTTGTGTTATGATTATTCAAATTATTGACCTTCTATGCAGTGGGTTCTAAAGTAATGGGCCAATATTGTTAATTTTGCATCAGACCTAAACACATATGAAATAAATATTTCGACGTGCCTGGTTCGAACTTTATTGGTAACTTCCTTTACTTTATATGAGATATATGATAATTTTTAGAAAATGTTAAAATGTGCGTGAGGTACCAGGAATAGTCGACCGAATCATTCCATGTTCATACTTCATGTAATACAGATAAATAGATCGGTGTGCAAAAATACAAGTAAATCGAATCTTTATATCCAATTTTATGCGAATCCATAAATTCCAATTTTCATCTCAGGTTTCTCGTTGAAAGCAATTTTTAGACATAGCAAGTTGTTAAGATTGAAGTATTGAAAATTGTGCTCCTTTGTGGATATGTCATTTTCACAACAGATCTTTTGTTAAAAAAATGTTTGTTTTCAACATATTGAACCCTATGTGGGGGAGGTACCAGAAGAAATCGTCCGATCTCTACTATCTTTATAATAGATCTTGTGTTGATAGAAATATTGCGATGTACCAAGTCTAAATGTAATCGGATATTTATTCGAGTTTGATGATCTTCATGGATACTAAAAATTGTAACCATTTCTGGGGGGATCTACCAGAAGGAGTAGACCGATATATACCATCTTCACACCAGACTTTGGGCTAATAAAAATATTATGAAGTGTTTAATTTGAAGAGAATAGTATCTAATTGAAGAAATATCCAAAATGTCTACCTTTTTTGGGGTAGGTACCAGAAGGAGTGAGCCGATATATTTCATCTTAACACTAGATCTTGGGTTAATAAAAATATTGGGATGTGTGACATTTTAAGACAATCGGATTCTTACATCACATTTAATAAGGGTTATAATTAATCAAAATGTTTAACTTTTGTGGGAGAGGCACTCGATGGAGTGGACCGATATTATCTATTTTTGCACCTGACCTGGAACTGACGCAAATATTAGAATTAGAAAGTTGGGGAAAAATTGGATTATTGCTACTCTTTCTGTGCAAAAAATATTTTTTGTTTTTTTTTTTTTAATTTCGACCTTTTGTGGGGGAGGTACCAGAAGGAGTGAACCGATGTATTTCATCTTTACACCAGACCTTGGGTTGATAAAAACATTGGGATGTGTGAAATTCGAAGAAAATCAGACTTTTACATCACATTTTTTAAGAGTTGTAATTATTTAAAATTTTGACCGTTTCTGGGGGAGGTACTTGATGGAGTGGACCGATATTGTCCATTTTCGCACCTGACCTAGCATTGATGCAAATATTAGGATATGCAAAGTTGGAGCAATATCGGATTATCCATTCTCTTTCTGTGCAGTAAATTATTTTCTTTATCTATTTCTTTATTTTCTTTTTCTTGTTGTGGGGGAGGTAGCAGAAGGAATGGACCGATATTGTCCATCTCCGAACTCGATCTAAGTTTGACAATAATATTATGAAGTACCAAGTTTGGATAAATTCGGATACTCCCTTCAAGAGTTATCGAGACAGACAGACGTACGGACGGACGGAAATGTCCTGAAACGGATTTGGTTCAAAGGGACCTAGGGTCTAAAACCGTTATTTCGACTAGGCACGTTTTGGCCGTATCAAATGATATATACCCTCAAATGGCTGAGGGTATAATAATTCGAATTTTAATATTTTATACTCCGTGAACAGAACATAAGAATGTTGGTGTGAAAAAAATTTGAAACATTCAGGAAATTAAATAGTTTTTTGACGGTCCCAATGCAGACCCGCCTCTGCCGATATAGGTGGTCACCTCAGCACAATGTAGAAAACGCACACACCTCATATGTTGGGAAAAAGCAGCTTCAGTATAACATTGGCGGCATCAAAATATCAACAAATAAAGTCATTGTCCAGAAATGAAACATCCCCAGGTTGGGGCTTTCATAGAATTATCAAAAAGCGCCTGAGAAAAGTAAATCCCCGTTAACAGCATCAAATTAATATTTTTTTTGTACTGTTACTGATAGGTCTTGTTAAATAGCTTAAAAATGTTTAACAAAAAGGCAACGCTCTTATCAGTTTCAGGGAGTAAATCCCATTTTTTTTAATTATTTTCTTCTAAACTTTGCTATATAAACGCTGAAGATCAAAACATAATATCATTCGCATAACTTAGTAGAATATAGAACATAAAACTAACTACAAATAACAAAATGTTCGCTTTAAAGTTTACTCTATTGATGGCATTCTGCCTAGCTGCCTCCAGGGCTTCACCAGTAGACTTCATAAATGTTGGATACGAGAATCAGATTATTAATGACGACCTATTCAAATCATCATCGATTCTTTCTCGCCACGCCCGTTCCCCAGAGGGTGGTAGTGTTGGCATCGACTATCGCAAAGATGAAAACGGCCGTGTAGCAGTTGCCCAGTATAAACAAAATATATTTTCCAGTGCCGATGGTGATAGATCGTTGGATGCCCACGCTCATGCCAGTCATAATTTCGATCACAACAGCAATGCTTTCGGTGGTGGTGTCCAGGGTAAATGGTCGACTGGCAGTGGTGGCTCTGCAGATTTTACGAAGGATAACTTTGGACGTCAAGCTTCGGTGCAGTTGAATCAAAATCTATTCACTAGCCGCGATGGACGTGGCACCATAGATGCCTATGCTCATGGAACTCGTAATTTTGATTATAACTATAATAACTTTGGTGGTGGACTTCAGGGAAGATATAGATTTTAAATTAAAAAAATGTAAATAAACAAGAAAAATAAATAAAATTTAATGTGAGATAAATGTATTGGATTTATGTAAGGATTTTTCCAAAATGTAGGTTGTTTGTTTGGGGAAGTATCAGAGGGAGTGTAACGATACATCTCATTTTCCCATTGGATGTAATGTAAACCAAATATTAAATCTGCAAATTTTTTTATTTCTTTATAAGGCTTTTAAAATTAATTTTTATACCCTCCACCATTATGGAGGGTATATTAATTTTGTCATTCCGTTTGTAACTCCTCGAAATACTCATGTCAGACCCAACAAAGTATATATATTCTTGATCAGAGTAAAATTCTAAGACGATTTAGCCATGTCCGTCTGTCTGTGTGTCTGTGTGTCTGTCTGTCTGTCTGTCCGTCTGTCTGTCTGTTGTAATCACGCTATCTTTCGAACAAATAGAGATAGAAGGCTAAAATTTTGCAAACATGTATATTTTGCCAGTAGGCAGGTTAAGTTCGTAAATGGCCATGTAGGTCCAAGAAATCATATAGCCCCCATATAACGGTACCTCCCGATATTCGGTATTTTGATGATTTTAGCGACATTATTTAAAGGAATCGTTCCAAATTTGGTATTTGAAGTTCGTAATGGATTCGTAATCCTAAGTCAAAAAATGAGCCATGTAGGTCCACGTCCTCATATAGCCCCCCTATAACGGTAGCCACCGATATTCTGTATTTTGATGATTTTAGCGACATTATTTAGCGAAATCGTTCCAAATTTGGTATTTGAAGTTCGTAATAGATACTGCAGCATAAAACAGAAAATGGGCCATATAGGTCCAAGTCTTCAAATAGCCCCCATATACCGTACCCCCGATATTTGGTATGTTGATGATTTTAGCGACATTATTTACCGGGATTGTTTCAAATACGGCATGTGAAGGTCGTAATGGATACTTCAGCCCATGCCAGAAAATTGTCTGTGCAGGTCCACGTCTTCGTATAACCCCCATATAACGGTACCCCCCATATACGGTATTTTAATGATTTTAGCTACATTATAAACAGATTTTTCTTCAAGTTTCGCATTTAAATATTGTAATAACTTATGACAAAACTTGCCTATGCAGGCCCACGTCGTCGTATAAGCATTCGGAATTCTTAAGATATTAACAGAATTTTTAACGGATTTTATTTTTTGGAAATTGCCAAATTTTGTACCAAATATTGGAGGGTATTAAAAGTTCGGCCCGGCCGAACTTACAGCTTTTTTACTTGTTTAAAGATAATCTTTGGAAATATTTTTCAAAAAAATATATAAAAAATATAAAAATGATTTTGCCCTGGACATTTTAAATATATTCCTAAAAAAATGGCGTTTGTCCGTAATGCCTTCTACGAAAAATAATAAAAAATAATTATTCTTGATAATGTGCTTAACTGAACTTAACTGAACTATCATCACCACTCACTTCATTGAACTTTCATCACCACTTCACCTGGCAAATGACAAATATTCAACTCTTGAACAGCAAAAACTTTTAAAAATGTCCGAGGTAAAATCATGATTTGGTGCAAGGAACTCCTGGAAAAACTCATATTTTTATACCCTCCACCATTTTATGGAGGGTATATTAGCTTTGCCATTCCGTTTGTAACTCCTCAAAATATTCATAATAGACATTACAAAGTAAATATATTCTGTATCAGCGTAAAATTCTAAGACGATCTAGATCTAGAAGGCTAAGGCTTACTGCATAGTTTACCAGTAAGCAGGTTAAGTTCGTAAATGGGCCATGTCGGTCCACGTTTTCGTATAGCCCCCATATAACGGTACCACCCGATATTCAGTATTTTCATGATTTTATCGACATTATTTACCGGAATTATTTCAAATTTCGTATTTGAATTTTGTAACGGGTACTACAGCCAATGATAACAATGTTTGTATGGAGGTCCATATCTTAGTATAGTCCCCATATAACGGTAGCTCCCGATAGTCGGTATTTCGATGAATTCAGCAACATTCTTCACCGGAACCGTTTCAAATTTCGTATTTGAAGTTTGTACAGGGTACTACAGCCTATGACAAAAAATCTCGTATATAGGTCCATGTCTTCGTATAGTTCCCATATAACGGTAGCTCCCGATTGTCGGTATTTCTGTTATTTCAGCAACATTATGCACATTCCTTTCAAATTTCGTATAAAGAGATCTTAATAGTAACCACAACCTATGGAAAATAATTTCGCATGCCGGTCCACGTCTTCCTATAGCCCCTATATAACGGTATCTCCCGATATTCGGTATTTTCATGATTTTAGCGACATTATTTCCCGGAATTGTTTCATGTTTGGTATTTGAAATTCGTAATGGGTGTTAAAGCCTAAGACAAAAATGTTTGTATGCAGGTCCACGTCTTCGTATAACCCCGATATGACGGCACCTCCCGTTAATCGGTATTTTCATGATTTTAGCGACATTATTCACCGGAATTGTTTCAAATATGGCATTTTAAGTTCGTAGTGGGTACTACAGGCTATGACGAAAAAATTTCGTATGCTGGCCCACGTCTTCGTATGGTCCCCATATAACTGTTTTCATTAAGGTGTTCGTTTTCGGATTTTTTTTTTTTTTTTTTTTTTTTTTTTGAAATTCTTCAAGTTTCTTCTAAATGGTGCCGAATGGCCGAACTTAGCTGGTTTTTTATTTGTTTGTGTTAGAAACTTTTAAAGAACTTTTTTTGAAAAATCGCGAGTGTGATATTCGAGAACTTTATGTCTTTAGCTTTTAGATATAGCTCCCATACATATTTTCGGTCGATTTCACATATTTTATGCACCATACACGATATGTATATCCGATTATAACGAAATTGGAAATGAGTGACGAAATTTTTTACAAAAATAAATTTGCCAAATTTTATTGAAATCGGTTCAGATTTGGATATAGCTCCCATACATATATTTTCGGTCGATTTTATGAATGCACCAAACACGCTATGTATGTCAAATGTCAATGAAGTATGGGATGTGTGACGGAATTTGGCCTAAAAATATTTTTTGTTAATTTGAATTGAAATCGCTTCAGATTTGGATATTATTTTATGGGGAAATTTAGACCCACCACGCCTTTGCAGTGGTATTATATATATGGTTCCACGTTTTTCTATAGCGTTCTACGTTAAATTTTTTATACCCTACACCACATGGTTGAACTGAGATGAAATTTTCCAAGCAATATTTGTTTGGCCCAACAACGAACCCTATTTAAATTTGTGAGAACCGGTTCAAATTTAGATATAGCTCCCATATATATCTTCAACCGATTTCGGGTTAATTGTGCACCAAATGGCCAATATAAGTCCAAATGACCTGAATTCTGGCACATCTGACCGAATTGAGTCTAAAAGCAAGTACATCAAATTTGGTGAAAATCGGTTCAGATATAGCTATAGCTCCCATAGATATGTTTCATCCGAATTGGTGTTTAAGTACCTCACATGCGAAATATGCACTAAAAAAGAATGATATTTGGTACCAGACATAAAATACAGCTCTGAAATAAGTGTATCAAATTTTGTCAAGATCGGTTCAGATTTGAATATAGCTCCCAAATATATCTTTATTCGTTTTCAGGTTTATTGTGCACCATTTGACGAATATCATCCCAAATGAAGTGAATCTTAACAATTCCGACTGAATTCATCGTAGAAAGAAGTACTTCAAATTTGGTTAAAATCGGTTCAGATATAGCTATAGCTCCCATATATATGTTTAAATAAATTTTGGGTATTAAGTCCGTCACACGCGCAATATGCACTGCACATCAAGTAGTTTTACAAGTATGTTGTCCGGTGTCAAAGGACATCAGATATAGCTCGAAAATACCTCTGCAATATGTTATCGAGATTTTATCCGATTTTACGATTATTGTTCACCACATATGTAATATCAGCCCAAATTGGTTAGATTTTTTTTATATTCAACCGAATTTTAAATAGCATCTGATACCTTTCGAAGTCGACACATCTCAATATTTCTATCAACACAAGATCGGTTGTGAAAATGTTAGATATCGGTCCACTTTCATTTAAATAACCATAAAATGCAAAGAAAAGAATCCAATTCTCTTAAAATTTCACACATCCCCATATTTCTACGAAAACAAGATCTGGTGTGAAGATGGAAATATAGAACCCTTTCTTCTGGTACCTCCTCCATAGAGGGTTGAATGTTTGAATAATTATAACCCTTATAACATGCGAAACAATTCAGCGACTCTTTATAAAAGTTGTTCATCTTAATATGTCTCTCAAACAACGATCTGATGTGAATATGGAATTTATAGGCCCATATTTGAAATCGATATGGTGATGTTCTCCCTTCGGTCAAATTCTTCGACTGTTCTGTGGTGTAACTTGTATGGAAAATATTTTTTCTCATTGGTTGTATTTATATAGCTCTTATAAAATGTTAAATAAGAGTCGGATTGTCTTCAAATTTTCCATATTCCCATATTTTTATTAACCCAAGATCTGGTGTGAAGATCGGATATATTGGTCCACTTCTTCCGATACCTACCCCCCGAGAGATCATAATTATGAATAGCCATAAGGCTCGTAAAACGCGAAATGAACATCTGAACTCGGCACATCTCAATATTTCTATCAACACAAGATCGGTTGTGAAGATGGCGGATATCGCCCCACTCCGTCTGGTACCTCCCCCATAAAAGGTCATAATTTGAATAACCAAAACGATCATAAAATGCAATGAAATGAATCCAATTCTCTTAAAATTTCACACATCCCCATATTTCTACGAAAACAAGATCTGATGTGAAGACGGATATATAGGACCATTCCTTCTGGTACCTCCTCCGTAGAGGGTTGAATGTTTGAATAATTATAACCCTTATAACATGCGAAACAATTGAGTGACTCTTTACAAACGTTGTTTATTTAAATATGTCTCTCAACCAAAGATCCGATGTAAATATGTTATTTATAGGCCCATATTTGGTATCGATCTGGTGATGTTATTCCTTCGGTCAAATTCTTCGACTGTTCTG